AGGCCAGCTCTCCGCATCACTGGGTGATTCCCATAGTCTATATGGGATTGGGCAGCACGGTGGCTCAGTGGTTAGCATTGCTCCCCCACAGCATCAGGGACCCGGGTTTTACTCCAGCTTTGGGTGGCAGCCTGTGTGGAGTTTGCACATCATCCCTGTGTCTGTGTGGATTTCCTCCCACAAGTCCAAAGATATGCAGGTTAGGTGGATTAGCTGTGTTAAATTGCCCCATAGTGTCCAGGGATGTGCATGCTAGGTGGATTAGCCATGGGAAATCCAGCGGTGGGGTGGGTCTAGGTGGGACGCTCTTTGGAAGGTTGGTGTAGACTCATTGGGTTGAATGGCCTGCTTCCACACTTTCGTGATTCTACGATTATGATACCCGGTACATGACAAGTAGCAACTGTGTGTTGGAAAGGAAATACTCAGTGATGGTTGGGAACAGATATATGAGGGATGGGAAATTATTGGCCTGGTGATATCTAATTATTCTTCAGTAACAGCAGTTGAAATCTTCAATCTTTTCCTGTTCCCCCCCTCTGATTATGCATGAATGGATTTGTTTTCTTGGCATCACAATTGAGCTGGTCTTGATATTTTCTCATGCACTGTACTCTAAGGGCTCTGTAAGCATTGTCCTGGTACTATCAGTTTGTAAAAACTCAATAAATGCAGTTCACATGATAAAAATCTTTATTCCTTTTCATCATTTCAAAAATTTGCCAGAAGAATGAAATATCATTCTGTCATTAATATTTTGTGACAGCCTGATAGTCTTCCCATAGGAGGCTGAAATTGCTTCTACTGGTTGGACTTCAGTTCCAATTTTATCCAGTTCTGAAGAAGATTCATATCGGACTCAAAATATTAACTTTGACTCTCTCTCCACAGACGCTGCCAGACCTGCTGAGTTTCTCCAGCAATTTTTGTACTTGTTTCCAATTTTATTATTGACTACCCTATGATGGAATTGTGATAACCCCTCGGAAACCTATCAGGAATCACTAATTAATCTCCTTGAGGAGCTTGTGAGTATGAGTTTCCATGGTAACAGGCAATGGCCTGCTCAGCTGGAACTCATCACCTGAACCCTTTATATGGCAGACTCAGAGAGCAGGGTGTTTAATCTCTTCTTCCAACTCTATTTTGGTTTAGTCCCTGCCCCCTCTCCCTACCTCCATCTCACCTTTAATGGTTTATATTGCCCTCAATGGGCTTTGTTTGTAAATTGTTGAATTGATGATTTGCTAGTGGTTATTAATGGGAAAAAAAGTATCGTAATTTGGTGACGGTCGAAAAAAAAAATAAAGCAGATCCAGGGATGGATCTGCAGAACCATCTGTGCTGGGCTGGGACTGACCTATGAACACCATGAGTAGTGGTTCTATTTGTGTTCAACAATAAATGATGTTCCTTTCCAGCTGGGCTTCCTGAGTTAGTACAATAATTATTTTCAATTGGGTAGTATTTCAATATTAGACTTCTTTCAGCTCAGCTACTTCAGGGTCACTGTTGCTGATATTTGTGGGTTTATTGTATTGGGAGAATTGTAAACTGTGAAGACATTCCTAAAGATACTTGATGGATTATGCTGGTTCGGTGGGATGACAATTTAATTTCATCCCCATGAGTCTTCTTTCAATGTGAAATTCTTGATCCACATGTTTCTTTCCCAGGGCTCAGTGAATTATCTCATCCTGGGTACCCCAGCATTATCCATGTTCCTAGACTTGGCCAATCATGATTCACTCTACAATGCAATGATCCATTCAGAAACACTAACTGTGATTGGACATTCCTCGAGGTTACATCACTTGCTCTCCTGCCTCTAAACTCCAGCCATTGGCCCATCCTTGCTGTACTCTGACCACAGCCAATTGGAAAGCAGATAGGATACAGTGGTAGCACTACTGCCTCACAGCACCAGGTACCCAGGTTCGATTCCAGCCTCTGGTAACTGTGTGGAGTTTGCACATTCTCCCTGGGTCTGCATGGGTTTCCTCCAGGTGCTCCAGTTTCTTCCCACAGTCCAAACATGCGCAGGTTAGGTGGATTGGCCATACTAAATTTCCCATAGTATCTAGGGATGTGCAAGCTAGGTGGGGTAGCCATGGGAAACGCAGGGTTACAGGGATAGGGTGGGTCTGGGTGGGATACTCTCAGAGGGTTGGTGTGGACTCGATGATCCAAATGGCCTGCTTCCACACTGTAGGGGTTCTATGATCCCAGGATCTTTATAATCCAAACAGATGATGTCTCGCAATCAGTCTTTTCATCCCATCTGCTGTATATTTGTATGGAATAGACATGACATTGAAAAACTCATAGGAAGATTCAGAAAGTACAATGTGTTTTGCTTTGGGTGGTAGACATTTTGAGATCCTTCACAAATAGCAACTGACACGAGCGAGACAGTTCACACCACCACCTTCTCAAGGGCAATTAGGGACAGACAATAAATAATAGCCAGCCAGCGACACCCACCCCTCACAATGAAAAGATCAGTTGTTAATTTGAAGGCTGTGAAGAATTGATTGTGTCAGCCAATAGCATCCAAGGATATGGAGCCCAGGTTGATGGTGCCAGACCTACTGAATATTTCCATATCTTTTTCTTTTTATTTCAGAGACACAGCATACTGATATTTTGCTTTTACAGCAAGGTGAGATCAAACCTGGGACCATTAGTCTATATTAAAGAATAAAAAATAAAGACTTCCATTTATGTAGTGCCTCTTTCTGCAGTGGAGCGGGGGACTGGTAGTTGAGGGTCAAGTGTGTGTTCAGCAGCATCAGGATTGGTGTGGTGGGCCCAGCAGTGAAGAGATGGTGCCTAAAGAGTGGTCATTCCTACACTTGTGGGTCTGGTGCAGGCAGTGTTGAGACATTGGGGGTCTCTCCTTCCGATACAGGAGGTTTGGTGCTGCTGTGGACTGGGCTGGAAGGACTGTTAAAGTGAACTTTTTATTTCTCTATTTTTCTAATTTATTCCTATGACCTGTAATGCTGGAATTTTTATTTCTTTATTTTTCCATATATTTTTTCATAAGTTCAGATTCTGTACCTAGGCATCTTTGTACATAAGGTAGTGCTGTTAAGTCGCAACTTGAAACTTTTTCACCTGAATACATGCGAAAATAAAGCCAATTCATTTCAGTTCAATTCATCGCCTCAGGATATTCCAAAGTATTTTACAGCCAATAAATACTTTCTGAAGTGTCATCATTGTTAGGTTAATATTGAGGGTAAAAAGGGTTAAATTTTAATTTTTAATATGTTTAGTAATATTGTTTCAAGCAGTTCTTCTATAAAATACTAGCTCAATATTGTTTCTTTAATGTATTTTGCTGTTCTTTTGTTGAAAGAACATTGACAGCCTCTTGTAACTATGTTGGGGGAGGGGTTCACAAGATGGCGATCTGGGGAGAATTGGGCAGGGGTCTTGGCAGCCAACATAGTGGGGTGACAGTCTGCAGGATACCACCTCCCGACTTCACAAAGTCAGTGCCACCTGGTCATGCTCTCCCGCACCACCCAGCCACCAGGCTGACCACAGGACAACACTGTCAGGGCCCAATGTGGTGACAGGACTGGGTTCAGGGCAGCAGTATGCAATTATTACCTTGTCACTTTAGGGCCTGAATTGGTGACAGGAAGCATCTAGAAATACCCTTCTTTCTTAAATATAGTCAATAATTTGGCCTCCCCTTCTTTTATTGGTAAAGAATTCTACAGGTTCACCCTCCCACCTTGAGTGAAGAAATTTCTCCTGATCTCATTCTGAAACAGCTGACCCCATACTCTGAGAGTGTGATCCCTTGTTCTGGGGCACCCAGGCGACGGGGAAACATTATCCTTGTACCCAGTCTGTCCAACCCAGTCAGAGGTTTACATGTTTCAGTGAGATATCCTCCCATTTCACTAAACCCCAGTGAATACAGACCCAGTTGGCTCAATCTCTTCTTGTAAGACAAATCCCAGATTCAATCTGGTGAAACTTCACTCACTCCTTCTACAGCAAGTATATCTTTTCTTCGATAAGGAGACCAAAACTATACACAATACTTTAGGTGTGATGAACTAGGAGCAAGAGTAGGCCATTCAGTCATAGAGTCATAGAAACAGACCCTTCAGTCCGACTCATCCATGCCGACCAGATATCTTAAATTAATCTAGTCCCATTTGCCAGCATTTGGCCCATATCCCTCTAAA